TTCTAAATCGCGTTGCGATTCTCTCAATCGCATTGCGATTCTCTCAGTCGCATTGCGATTCTCTCAGTCGCATTGCGATTTTCTTCTAAATCGCGTTGCGACTCTCTCAATCGCATTGCGATTCTATAAATCGCATTGCGATTCAATCAATCGCATTGCGATTTTCTTCTAAATCGCGTTGCGAACTTGGAAGCTCGCGTTGCGATTTTCTTTTGACCGTTGCGATTTTCTTTTTTAACGTTGCGATTTTCTAAATCGCGTTGCGATTTTGATATCGCGTTGCGATTTTATTGGTCATTTTGGAAAATCCAAAAAAAATTGGTTAAAATCATATATTATAAGGTATTTTTGGTCACTGAGGCGATTTTCTCTTTAGTAAATTGCGTATTTAATATCTAAACTATCATTTTGATCTGTTTTAGTATCTAAATTTTTAATTTTTTCAAAATCATACCTAATATTTATTTTTTATTTCATTTTAGTATACACCATTAAAAACTTAACATGTTTAATACCTAAACTATCCGATTTGGTCTATTTTAGTACTTAAACTTCTATTTTTTTCAAAACATTAACGTTAAATTTTGCACGGGAATACTAAAATGAAACAATAACTAAACTTTAGGTATGATTATAAAAGGATTGAAAGTTTAAGTACTAAACGTGTAATTTACCTTTTTTTTCTTTTTCCGGTTGAATGGTTAGACGGTTGAATATGATCATCAGGTGAAGACGACCAACAAAGCAACGACAGTGTTTGGGTTTGAAGACAAGCAATTACCTTATCTAAAAATGAACATCTATATTTGGGCAGGCATCTACCTTTATATTTATTCAATTAGGGACTTGGGCACTTGGCTTGGGAGCCACCACCTCACATCTAATATCTGCCCGATATGGGACTGTGCGAGCCATTAATTGCTGGCTTTTCGTACCAATAAGGACACACACCAAAAAGCAAAAAAAATGACTCACACTAGTCACTAGTGGTCGTGGACTACTTCTCTTCTCCTCCTTTTCATCATCAAGGCAGCCCCGGGTACGGCTATGATTTGAACAGTTCTCTTTAGGGTTTCTCTTTTCTTATCCACTGGAGCCCAATTATAACCTTAAACTCAATTAGGGTTTTTATCCCAGCACCCAGCCGCCAATGATCTCAGCCGTTGGATCTGAGAGATCCAATGGTCCACAGAAGGTCCAACATGAAGCCCTAGGATTTCATAACCCTAGGTTATCATCTTGCGTCGCCGCCTTTGCTGCCACCGCACAACCGACTCCTTCACTACTATGTGGTCCAACCATCCATTGCAGACGCCTAGCTACTGTCACCGTCTCACCGAAACCTCCAGAAGCGCCACGAAGCCACCCACGTCGAAGCTCTGATGTGAGTCACCACATAGTTTGGTGACTCACCGAAGACTACCCAATTATCTGGTCTGATGAGCGTCTCGACGAGGCTATAAAAGCCTCGACTCACCTGCAAAATAAAATTCATCGATAGCCACAAAAACACGAGCATCAAGCAACCACAGAGGATGACATAGACAGAAAAATAACAAGGAACCACCAACAACCAACATCAACAACCGAAAGGAAAAACAGAGGAGAGAAGAAACTTACCAGAGATTCCAAACGTCGTCGGAGAACCAAAAATACCGAAGGTATTTTCTTAGATTTAGGAAATTCCTGGGTTTTTTCAGGGAAACGGAGATCGGAATTGGCCTTAGAGCGTTCGAATTTCTCATTTGGGGTGTTTTGATATTTTCTGGCCACCATCGATGGTGGCCGACGGTAGCGCTTGGTGGCGGATTAGGGCTGTTGGACGGTGGTCGACTCTCCCAATGGGGAGAGAAGCTAGAGAGAAGGGAGAGGTTTTCTCTCTTTAGAGAGAGAACCAGAAGAAAAAAAGAGAGAAATGGCCCAAGAGGGCCGATTTTATAGGTTTATATACCCCTCCCCGAACGCCGTCATTTTGAGGAGGGGAGTGTGCGTAATTTCCCTTAGGGGCAAACCCCCCACAGTGCTTCAAGTTTGTAATCTTTACAATTTTAAATTTGGTATTCTAATTTTATTTTATTTATAATTTAATCCTTGCCTATTTATTTATATATTTAGGGTAAATAATTGATTTAGTCCCTTATCATTTAATTAATATTTATTTTAACCTGATTAATTAATAAAGGATAAATTACATTGTTAGTATTTAAATCTCATAATATTTCAAACTAGAGTTGTAAATTTTAATATTTTACATTTTATTTCTGTTATTTTTAATTTTATTTATTTTAGTCACTATTTAATTGTAATTTATTTTTATTATTTCAATATGTTTAATTTAATATTTTAAATATTATTTATTCGTATATATATATATATATATATATATATATATATGATTAAATAAAACTATTTATTTATTTTAAATATTATGAAAAGGACTGTCTTAACTTAACTAAAAGTCCTATTTCAATATTTTTAAATAAATAAATATCATAATATACATATATAATTATTTTAGTTATATTCAAATTATTATATTTTTCTTCATTTTATATTTATTTAATTTTAATCATATTAATATATGTATATATATATATATGAAAGATTAAATAATAATATTTATTTATTTTTAAATTACTAAGAAAATACGGTCTTAAAAAAATTAGATGTCCTATTCTGGTACTTTAAAAATAAATAAATATCATGCTTATAAATATATATATATATATATACTTCATTTTTTTTAGGAAAAATATTATATTCTTATTAATATTTATTTATTAATATTAAAGAAAAGACAGTTTTAAAGTAACTATATATCATTTTCTAATATATTTAAATAAATAAATACTTTATTTATAATTTATAAAAATTATTTTAATATTTTTCTTCCTTATCATCCAATTGAATATGAAAAGATCATAAATTAAATTTATAGTCGAATTTTTAAATTTTATTATTAGAGACAATTTATAATCGGCAGTGACCAATTTTGGGCGTTGTGGGGTACTAATCATTCCCTAAACGTAATCGACCACGAATCCATTTTTATTATTAAAAAGAACGAATTTTTGGTTAAACGTATATCAGTTTATCTTTTAACTAATCTTTTCTTAAAAACTCTTTTAAAAGATGTTTTTTAGGTATTCGATTTACCTAATCCAAAAGGCCAACGACGACTCTAAAACATTTCTTTAAAAAAGTCATTTATTTATTCACATTAATTTTTCCGCCAAGTAAAATTTTGTACCCGGGCGAAAATCGGTTACGACAGTTTGGCGACTCCGCTGGGGACTCTAGTCAACCTAAGTCGATTATATGTTGTCTCTATAATTAGAAATTGAGAATCCAATTTTATTTAATTTTTGATTCTTTTTATTTCCTTCAATTATTTTTTTATCTTTTATTATTTTTTATATCCTTATATATTAATGTTTATAAACCCAAAAACCCTAATCCCTATTTCCTTCAAACGAATCAGAACACTCAATACTCCAAGTATCGGCACATTTATACAACCTATAATATCATTTTGTACCTATAATATTTAATAAAAATATCGATATTTATCAACTACCTAGAATATCACTTTCTACCTGTAATCGATCTCAAATGCTTCTTTACTTTGAAAACCCCAAACAACACATAAAAACCCAAACAACACATAAAAACCCTATTTTCGATTACTGTAATAATAAAAACTAGGGTTTCGACAATGTACTTTTCGATTCAACTGCAGCAACAAACAAACAAACAAACTTCGCTTTAGAAACGCCTTCTGAAATGCAACAACAATTACATTTCGATTTCAAAAACTCGTCCATGTTCTATATATTTTCAGAGGAAATTTAGCTATGCCCTTTATATTTTCACCGGATATGTTATTTATATTTAATCGATACAATTACCCAAGTGTCGATACTTTTATGTCAGGTGCCAAAACTTTCAATAGGATATTTACCTATTTCTTTGAAAGTATCGATAATTTATTACGTGTACTTATTAAAGTATCGACACTTTTAACATATCCGGTAGTGCTTTACCAGTTTTTTCACTTCGAGACCGGTTTTGTCATATTTTTACATGTTATATTGTTATGAATAAATACATTTTTATAAAGTATCGACACTTTATAGACGCTATTACTGCTTATCTTTTAAATTCCAAAAGTGTCGATATTTATATTAAAATATTGACACTTTCAACCTATTCGGTAGTGCTTTATCGGTTTTGTCATTTCGAGACCGGTTTTGTCATTTTTTTACCTGTTATATTATTATGGATCGATACATTTTTATAAAGTATCGATACTTTATAGGCGCTATTACTTTTTCTCTTTTAAATTCCAAAAGTGTCGATACATATATTAAAGTATCGATACTTTCAACATATCTGGTAGCGTTTTTCCGGTTTTATCATTTTGAGACCGATTTTGTCATTTTTTTTACCTGTTATATTGTTATGGATCGATACATTTTTATAAAATATCGACACTTTATAGGCGCTATTACTTTTTCTCTTTTAAATTTTAAAAGTGTCGATACTTATTTCAATTTAATCTTTTAAATTCCAAAAGTGTCTATACTTATTTCAATCTAATCGATACTTTCAACATATCCGGTAGCGCTTTACCGGTTTTGTCATTTCGAGACCGATTTTGTCATATTTTTATATGTTATATGGATATGGATCGATACTTTTTTATTTGTATCAACACAAACCGACAAGCTAAGTTTGTCTGTTGCCAAATTTTTTAATATTTCTTCATGATTTCTACCTACAACATTATTATTACTCAATATTTCCGATAACGCTAAATCAAATTTATTAAATATCTTTTAATGCATCTGATAACGCCGTATATTAAACATATATTAATCCGCATTTAATGAGAGAACCCCATTTCAAATAAAGTTGGAATCTGGAGAAAATAAAAAAGGACGTGAACTCAATTAACTTGAAAAAAATTATTCGACCCGATTAGATGAGTACTCACCCTAACAGGGAATAGGCTTTATCGGTCCATAACAGACGATTAGGGCTTGGAACCAGGGTCATCATTTCCGTCTCTTTTCTTCCTTCTTCGCCGTTTCTCCCTACACACACTCCACTTTTGCAAAAGGCCGAACTCAAAGTCATAATGGAAGACAAAACTGAGAAGTTCAAGGTACGCTCAAAATCCACGCTTACTTGAAAATACCTTTGTTTTTAGTTGATTTTCTTAAAAATAATTTGTACGAGTAATTCCAGAAGGAAAGGAACAGTTCGTTTGATTGGTAGTTGTTTATAATGCAGATAATATTGGGGTCGTCTTCCATAACCCGTCGTACAATATTAGCTGAAATGGGATATGAGTTCACACTCATGGTAAATTTCACTATTACTAGGAAATTTTAATTTAAATGTTTATATTTTAAGGAAAAGAAGTTTCAGTTTTGTTGGTTTTCTCTGCAGAGTGCGGATATTGACGAGAAGGCTACCAGAAAGGAGAAGCCGGAGGAGTTGGTCATGGCTCTGGCTGAAGCAAAGGTTCTCTTCTTACTTAATTTTGCACTGCTTATTTGGAATGATTGTTTTCCCCCCTCTTTACTGTGCTTTCTTAGGGTTAATATTGTAAAACTGGAGGGAATTTTTCAAGTTTCTTTTGTCGATTATCAAAACTAAGAGCAATCAGCGATCAAGCTCAAGAGAGCTGGTAAATCTGTTTCATTATCAGTGGTGCCAATATTGCAACTTAAGTTTAATAGGCTGCTTAGTTTGAAACACATTCCTCTCAGAAAAATCCGGGTTTAGATCCGTGGTAGCTGTATTACAAAATAATAAAAATGAAGTATGCCTCATCAAGGGACCTAGACTGATCACGTTTACCACAGCATACGTTTTCAGACTTTAGCCTTTGTATATTCCCTCTTCAGATCATTTATAGGCAGTCTTTCTTATTCATTGTTTCAACAACTTCTGTTGCCTGCTGCCTGGTACTGTGTTCGTATATTCCGTTGCTTAGGCATAGCTGGGTTGAAAATTTTCAGGCAGATGCTATCTTACAGAGGCTACCCATTGGTGATTATGTAAAGGAAGCTGAGCCAACATTACTGATTACTTCTGATCAAGTAAAAATCTATTCCTTGGATATGCTTTAAAGTTCCCTTAATGTTTAATTATGCCATACAGCCTTTGTTGCATGTGCCAACCTTCTCTTGTAAATGTTATTTGGCTGTTTGGAAGAAAGTTGATGCTTAAAACATATATTGGTGAATCAGTTTCCATCTTCAACCTTTAATGAGTTTCTTTTAATTTAATGCTTCCGTAAGTAGATGTTGTAATGGATTTGTTCCGTTTTATATTTAGTGTGAAGTCTTTTGACTGTAATTTTTCAATACCTTTTAAGGGTCCATAGTCTCACAATTATTCAGATTTACTGTCTCCTCCAGGTAGAAGTTCTTTCTCTTTTTAGGAACCAATTTGTCCTAAGATACACATGACTGCTGGGCCGGCTTATCTTCCACTGATTATTTTTGTTTGCGGAAATCATATATGGCAATTGGTGATAAGTGTTGGCACATTTAACATTTTTCATGTTTTAGGAAACATAACTCTTCTACTTCTATATCTCACTGTTCTTGTTAAATGGTCTGAAGGTGGTGGTCTATGAAGGTGTTATAAGGGAAAAACCAGCCAATGCAGATGAAGCACGTAAATTTTTAAAAGGTTTGTCTTAATATTATCGATCCAGTTCTTACTGTTTTACTCTTTTAGAGCTTTAACGATTAACCATTATGCAGGCTATTCGGGTGGGTATGCTGCAACAGTGGGATCTGTTCTAATTACAAACCTTAAAACTGGATTCAGAAAAGGCGAATGGGATAGAGTGGAGGTATTAATTGCTTTCATTCTTGATTTGGATTTGCTAAACAAGAAATCTTACCACTTGCTTGAATTAACAGACTTTTACAATGTTAATGAATGGGGAGTATCACAGCAACATAAACTTATGATTTGGTGGCATGCAATTTAATTAAGTATTTATGTTCTTTCCTGGCTGTGTCAAGTACCTACTGAAGACATTTATACTATAAAAACCATCCAAGGATTGACAAAAATGACGACTTCCGTACTCGGATTATTCTCCCAAAGCTGCCAAAACCCAAAGTCAATGAATTTAAAACAATATTCTCCCAAATTACTCAACCAAATTAACTGCCACATATACTATTAGAAAGATCTTGATGAGTCCGTTCTATAGGCAACCACAATGTTGCTGGAAAGTCACTGAAATTTGTCTGAGTTTTGTGTTCGGTGTCTTTTAAGAACCCTAGAGCATACAGTAACACTGTTTTCAAGTCTAAACGTTACATTGCAAATAGAAAATAGATGAAAAGGTTTTGGTTTGGACCCCACTCATTCCAATTTCCTTTCATTCCTTGGGGGGGGGGGGTGTGGTGGCTATATAGTTCAGCTTTCTTAGTCAAATTATCCTAAAGCAACCAATGGTAACCGCATAATATGAAATAGTAAGGAAGGACATATTTTACTCTACCTACTTTATGCATGTTTCTGTCACCATGTTCATCTTGTTCCCTAAGGGGTAAAAAACAGTTGTTATCGAGATCTGCGCTGTGTGTGCATTGGAAGCTGCCTGGAAATATGCCAAGTACTTAAACAGTGATAAAAGCATGTTGATAATGTGGCTTAACACTTTGTTTTATTGTTATAATTTTTCATGTCGTGCAGATATATTTCAATCAAATACCAGATGAAATCATTGAGGAATTGGTAAGTTCTTTTTTTTTCTTTTGATAAATTTCCCGTCCTTTTGCTAATGGCCGGGGGGAGGTATTTCATTGTTTCTTTACTTGATCAGATTGAGGAAGGGAATGTATTACATGTTGCTGGAGGACTGTTGATTGAAAATCCTTTGATGAGGCCATATATTAAACAAGTGGTTAGTTTTATTATTTATGTGAATCTATAGTTTACATTGGTCTAAGATGTTTGGATTGTAAAATTTGCGGCAAGAACTTGTAAATATGCTTCTTGCTCCATATCTTCTAGGCAAATTCAACACATGATTACAGATAAACATTTTCCAAAACATATGTTAGTCGGCTTACCTACACGGGTATGTTTCGTCCTAGATTTTGATGCATTTGAAGGGTTTGTTGGGGGCATTGTATCCCCATGTCTGTATACGGATATGCCCCGAACGCGGATGTTGACGAATCCAATGTGAAGAGCATCTTTTAGTGTGGAAACTTTTGGGCTTTCACTATGCTAAAAACATTTTTATTTTCTCTGGACATAAGAGGTAGATAAGATGTGGTATTGGTATTTTTGCTTTGCAGGTAGGGACGATAGACAGTGTGATGGGATTGCCGAAAGCTCTGACGGGTAAACTCATAAAGGAAGCTCTCTAGGATCCGCACCATTTGATTCCCATTGTTACAACTTCATTCACATGTATTGTCTTAAAATTGGATCACTTTTTTAAGTGTCCTTTTATACTAATATTTGACTGGTTCATAGTGCCAACCAAAGTTGTCCATAGCCAAAATCATCGTCAAAAGCTAGTTATAGACTATAGCTAGGGTTGTAAATGAGATGAGAGTTGTTCAAATTTAACTCTGTTAAGATTTGGTTGACACTCGAATTAAATGGATTCGATTTTTGTTCTTAATGAATCAAAATGAATTATTTAATATTTAATTTAAAAATCTCTCAAGCAACCCAAAAAGAAATAATATATTAAACTTTTATTTTTTAAAATTAAATTAGTAATTATATAAAGGTTTGTTCTTAATTAAATGTATTATATGTATGCATTAATAACATAAAATTTTAGAGTGGGCACAATAAATAAATTTATTGATGTTTGAATTTGAGTTTGAGTGAATTAAATTTAAGAATAATTGGAGTACAAATTTTTTTAAATTTGAATCAAATTTTACTTTAGATTCAAATCAAATTTGATAATTTTAAGTTCATAAAATTTTTAGATAAATAAATTTAATTTTAAAATTTTCAAGTTAAATAAAAATCAATGATATTCTAATTTAACTCAACCATCAATTTTGCAAATTCAAGAGAAATGATTAATGGAGCGTGGTCAATGGCCGGCTAGATTTTATCAAACCAAATGATCTCATCTAGAATGAATTTAATATATTTTTATCTAACCAATTGAATTTGAACTTTGAAAAGTTCAGAAATGAATTGATTTCAATAAAAAAACGATTTTGTACGTAATTGAAAATGCAATAAAAATATAATTTTTAAATTACATTGAAATTAAAATTATTGTTTTTATTATATTTAAAATTAACATTATTTAATTTTAAATTAAATTATCACACAGCATAGTAATCTTAACAATAAACAAAAATCATTCGAAGCCACGAAATTTCACATTGATGTAAACAATAAATTCTGGAAAAATAATATTTTTCAGCAGGAAGAAAACAAAAACTTCAAGAATAGCAGCCACACGAGTCTTAACAATGACGAAATCTGAAAATTTTCTCCTTCAAGATCAAGAATCACTCTTCTTGATCACTCTTTAGCCTTTAGATTAGATTCCCATTTCCCACCTCTATTTCTTTTTCTCGAGAAAGTAAAAAGTTTGAAACTTTCCACAACATTATTAACACTTTCCTGTTATTTAAAGTTTAATCCTTTGGGGTCTGTCGTCAGTCAGTCCTAAAAACACACCTACTACCACTCTCACGTGACTACCATATCCCGGTTCATTTCCGTTAACGGATACGGCCGCCAGTACCATGAACCAAGGGAGTGTAGCCACCGCCAATGGTGGATCGGGAACGGACTCAGTCGGTGTTCAGATCCAACAATCCCGAAGGCTCCCGGATTTCCTTCAAAGCGTTAATCTCAAGTACGTTAAACTGGGCTACCACTACCTGATTTCCAATCTTTTGACCCTCTGTTTCGTCCCTCTGATCGCTGCGATAGCGATCCAAGTTTCACAAATGAATCTCGATGATTTACGCCACTTATGGCTTCACCTTCAATACAATCTAGTCAGCATCATCATCTGCTCTGCTATTCTAGTCTTCGGGTTAACCGTCTTCATCATGACCCGACCCCGACCCGTCTACCTCGTCGATTACTCTTGTTACCGTCCTCCCGACCATCTTAAAGCTCCATATAGTAGTTTCTTGGAGCACTCGAGGCTGACCGGTGATTTTGATGAATCGTCCCTCGAGTTCCAGCGCAAGATTTTGGAGCGCTCGGGACTGGGGGAAGACACTTATGTGCCTCAAGCAATGCATAATATTCCCCCGACGCCGTCTATGGCGGCTGCTAGGGAAGAAGCCGAGGAGGTTATGTATGGGGCTTTAGATATTCTGTTCCGGAACACGAATGTTAACCCCAAGGATATCGGTATCCTTGTCGTGAATTGTAGTTTGTTTAATCCGACACCGTCCTTGTCCGCGATGATTGTGAACAAGTATAAGCTAAGGGGAAATATTAGGAGTTTTAATCTAGGTGGGATGGGGTGTAGTGCTGGTGTTATTGCTGTTGATCTTGCTAAAGACATGTTGCAGGTGCATAGGAATACTTATGCTGTTGTTGTTAGTACTGAGAATATTACTCAGAATTGGTATTTTGGGAATAAGAAGTCCATGTTGATACCCAATTGTTTGTTTCGGGTTGGGGGGTCCGCGGTTCTGCTTTCGAACAAGTCAAACGATCGGAGGCGAGCTAAGTATAAGCTCATTCATGTGGTGAGGACTCATAAAGGAGCAGACGATAAGGCGTTCAGATGCGTGTATCAGGAACAGGATGATGCGGGGAAGACCGGTGTTTCGTTGTCTAAAGATTTGATGGCAATCGCTGGAGGTGCGCTTAAGACGAATATCACGACCTTGGGTCCTCTCGTGTTACCGATCAGCGAGCAGCTTTTGTTCTTCGCAATGTTGTTGGTGAAGAAATTGTTCAACGCAGGTGTCAAACCTTATATTCCAGATTTCAAATTGGCATTTGATCATTTCTGTATACATGCTGGTGGGAGGGCTGTGATTGATGAGCTGGAGAAGAACCTGCAGCTGCTACCGATACATGTGGAGGCTTCTAGAATGACTCTCCATCGTTTCGGAAACACTTCTTCGAGCTCCATTTGGTATGAATTGGCGTACATAGAGGCTAAAGGGAGGATTCGGAACCGCAACCGTGTGTGGCAAATTGCATTCGGAAGTGGCTTCAAATGTAATAGTGCAGTCTGGCAAGCACTTCGGAATGTAAAGCCTTCGGTTAATGGTCCCTGGGAAGATTGCATTGATAAGTATCCTGTGAAATTAAGCACCTAGCCGGTAACATTTCGAGTATTTCATCGGGGGGGGGGGGGGAACATTCCTTGCATTGATAAGTATCCTGTGAAATTAAGCACCTAGCCGGTAACATTTCGAGTATTTCATCGGGGGGGGGGGGGAACATTCCTTTATCTGCCTATTGATGTGTAGTTCCTGCATGTCTGTAGTTGTTGCTCATTTTGCACTATAATTATCAAATGTATTTCATTGTTAAAGGAGATCATTGATGTATAATACCTTTATGGTTTGAAAAAGGACCACAATGGCAATAATTGATTAGTGATGCTTTGCTCTCCTGCTGCTCAAAACATGTATTCGTTTCGAAGCAATGAAGAGTGAGATACCCATGTTATTCGAACTCGATGTAATGTCTAGCAATAACAAGTGATGTAAATCCAAGGCAGGCAGAATAGATGCTGCTGGCCAGAACTGCTTTCAAGGCCAAAGAAAGATGATCATAAACCGAAAAAATTACAGCTAATGAACTCTGAGAGATCATTTCAAGGCCAGGAATTGGATTCTTCTGTAGTAAAAACCAGAAAGAAAAGGGAGAAGAAAAGCTTATCCGAAAGACTGTTGGATTTCTTCAAGTGTTTTGCCTATGTCTCGGGGACCCAAAGAGACACAAATATGATACTGAACGCACTTATGAGCATGTACATCGTAAAGGTTCCTGTTGAAGGTGAAGGGAGCTTCAGTTAATTCTCAATACTAGTAGCTTACCTCCTATTGGGGTCTCCGTGGAAGTTCAATAATATTTGTATTGTGTTTGTGTTCGTGTTCGTGTAATTTTCGTATCGTGTTTGTGTTTGTGTTTGTATCATTTGGTGCACACATACCTCCACTGCTCCAGCCCAAAAGCAGGTTGGCAGTCATTGTAACCAGCCACGCAGAGAGCTAGTTGGAAAGTGTGGCTATGCTTCCTCCAAGACCCTTTATATTTACTGGAAGAATCTGCAATGGGCAAATAAGCATGCAAAGGTTTAAAGTGAGATCATGGTGGACAAATCATTTTGTTAAGATGAAGCTTATTTTGTACTAGAATCAAACGAGCTCGAGGGATCAATACCTCCGACATTATAATCCAAGGAATAGGCCCCATTCCCAGAGAGAGTAATCACCAGTGCCTGGAAAAGATGGACCACTTAGACAATTGCCTCTTAACAACATCAGTACCAGAAAAAAGGAAAAGTAACATACCACAACTCCAACTACTGACAATATGCCCGTAATGTTATAAAGGCTAGAATCACTTGCTACCACATCCTGGATCAATCATCAAAATGGTGACAATTTAGGTTCTTATCGGGTCTAATATACTCAAACTCGAGTCTGAGTAACATAGATTGAATCATGTATGAATTTCGGTTTGTGCTGGGGTATTGTCAACAGAAGAATTCACCATATTATTACCTTTAAAAAGAACGAGACAACAACTGGGAGGCTGAGAGTTGTTCCAAAAGTGGAGACCTGGCAGAAGTTAAAGGGAAACTATAATTCTTTTGATGTTAGCAAACTAAGGGGCGAGTGACATAGATATCCATACGGTTATGCACTTTATGAGTAAAATTAAAATTACAATAAGCAGGAGCCGACGCCCTGTTTTGTCCACCAACCATGTGGTTACAGCAGTAACAATGACCAAACCACATCATAGTTCCGACATTCACTATATTTCGGATTCAGAAGTTCGTTGTTGTGAGCCAAAAATTTCGATGAAAAGAAAAAAAAAGGCTGGTGGTACTTGTTCAAGCTATACCTTAATGGCGTACTGTGTAACAGGCTTAAGCTTACCAACACGGGGAAATTGGTCCATTACAGTTTATGGGTTTTTTTTTTAGCTCAAAAGGACAAGTAGAAGTTTACTTTTGGATATACGACATTTTCTACAGTAACTTAGAATTTGTCAAGTTGAGATGACGAGTTTAAAACAAAATTATTCGAATTTTTTTACCTTGATGTGATAAATTTTAATAAAAAATATATTTTATTAGAATTCACTATCTCGAAGTGATGAGTTTATATAAAAAATATTTTTTATTAGAATTCATCAGCTCAACGTGTCGAGTTCTAACATCACTGTGGCAATTGTCCTCTCCAAAATAAAAAGTCAAATGCCCTAATGGGTTAAACAAAAAACCCGCTTGCCGTAATGGGAAAAAAACCTACCAACACTAATGATTAAAGGCTATAATGTGTAAACAAGCTTAAGCTTACCAGCAGCTTCGAAAATGGTACTGGAATAGAATAGAACACCATTAATGCCTAATAGTTGTTGCAGCATAACAAGTCCGATTCCGACCTGAAAGACATCGGTCCGTCA